GGAGGAGCCACAGCTGTCCTTTATCCTGCTGCATTAAGTAATTTTTAAAAAATTATCCTGTCTCCAGTTTCTAATGTAGTATTACTGGCCTGTTGGTTTCAGAAATAATGGCTGTGGACAGAACTGGGGAAAAACCTTCACATTCCTAGATTCCTGCTTTAATACTTCATCAGCCAGTACCAAACTTGTTTTATTTAGAACATTTACATTTCATCTTTCCACAGTAAAAGTCCATGAAGCAACTCCGGAAAAAATTAAAATGCAGCACACTATCAGTAGCATTAGGAGACCCCCATCACATCAAAAATCAGTGGCAACACACTGTCTCCATAGTTTCCATAGTTTATTATTATTATGGCCCATGGCCAGCATGCACACTGCCTCATCAAACATGCAGTCCCTTAGCAGTTCTTCAGAATAATGCACAGATCTTGTTGAAACCTGATAATATCATTAGAAATGAATAAAAATGAAGAGGCAGCACTGTGAGATGGAAGGGAATTCTTTTTTTCCTTCTTCTTACCAAGAGGTGCTAAGTCCCACCAATATCCTCCTGTGAGATATCGCTGCTAAGGTTCAGTTGAATGCTGCCTACCACCAATGGACCACCATCCCTGTGGTCTCTCTGTCCTTACAGCAGACAAGCTGCTGGCTTAGGCAAACTCCTTTCATCAGTAGATGCCTCAAGATGTTCACCAAGTTTTCTTGCCCACCTAATAATTTTATTTATTTATTTAGGGATTTATTATCTGCCTTAGATTTATGGCTTAGAGAGCCAGTTTGGTGTTGAGAGCCAGTTTGGTGTTGTGGTTAAGTGCACGGACTCTAATCTGGGAGAACCGGGTTTGATTCCCCACTCGTCCACTTGCACCTGCTGATGTGACCTTGGGTCAGTCACAAGCTCTGGCACAGCTGTTCCTGAAAGAGCAGTTTGTGTCAGAGTTCTCTCAGCCCCACCCACCTCACAGGGTGTCTGTTGTGGGGAGGGGAAGGGAAAGGAGTTTGTAAGCCGCTCTGAGACTCCAAGTGAAGGGCAGGGTATAAATCCAATCTCTTCTTCTTCTTCTCTTCTTCTATTATCTAATCCAGAAAGAAATTCAGTTAGTGGGAAACTCCTCCCACTTTCCAAACTGCTGAAGCTTGTACTCTGAGCCAAAGGACTATTATCTTATGTGAATTCAGCATCAGTTTATTGACTCCTATCTAGCCCGTGATTACCCTCACATATTCATTCCTGGCGTCCACTAACCCAGATGAAAAAAGAGAAATAGAGTCGGGTGTCATCAGAAAACTGATGTTAAAACAGTTAAACATCTACAAAGACTTCTGTAAGCAGTCACCTGGAGTTTTGGAATGAGGAGGTCAGAACAGAACAGGACCTCATAACGTAAAGTCAGATTGTAGTTCCCTAGCACCACCTTCTGAAAGTGGAGAACTAGTGAAGCTTAGTGCTGTCAGTACCAACCTCAGTCAACAAATCTGTAAGGATACCATAGTAGATGGTACTGAAGCTGCCAAGAAAATCAGCAATGATTCTAAGGCATTTCTGAAACAAACATGCCTCATATTCAGAGGCATCAGTATCAAATTTCCAGGTTTCCATGTGACAAGAAACCTAGAATGTCCAGCTTATACTGTGTCTTACTTGAAAATTGCTGTTAACACACGTGGAAGCTCAGGGTTTATTCTAAGCTTTCCTCCTACTATACAGGCAGCTGGCAAATTGCCTGCTCCTGAATTTTTGTAAGTTAAAAAGAACAAAAAAGAGATAGGAAGGAAGGGGAAATAAAGAAAAGACGACAAAGGTTGGGGAAATGAAAAAGACAGGACAAAAACTAATGGAGATGACTTGAAAATAATGAGGAAGTAAGGGAACAGCCACCCCCAATTAGTTGGCAATGAGTTTATGTCCCTTTTCTTTTATTTTCAACACTTTTTTATTGAAGTATTAAAAATGCATACAACTGTTAAAGTAAGATAAAACCACTTCAATTTTAACAAAAATTAGCTAGTACTAATAACAACATAATCTATACATCAATCATCAAGAACAAATATATAATCAACATTTAACTAATCTCAATATTGTACTGAATATCCTTATATTTCGGAGAATAAATTTTTTTAGCAATAAATCAGGTAAATATTAAGCTTTGGCAGACCTTTTAACACTACTTTTCACTATGTAGACTATTGACCTATTATAGTTTAATCTTATCTGTAATAGGATATATCCTCATGTCCCTATTAAGACAAATTCTGTCCCTTTTCTAATCTATATTTGGATAATATTACTCCCTTCTCACAGAAAAGAAGCATAAATGAGCGTTTGACCTCTCCCCATTATAATTCTGATGACTAGGATTTCCCGTGTGTGACAAAAGGGTTATTATTCCTGTAAAATCTGTTGAAGGTTCTGTTTCTGTTTACTATAACTAGAGGTTAATAGAAGCTGTTCATCAAATGGCTACTCCAGATCTGCACTGTCATAAGGAGCTCTTGTATTATCGATCACACTGTTTGGAAAAAGGGCGCAGGGCCCAGTATTAACACTATCAATAGCTCTGACTGTCCTTCAGTTTGGGGGATTTGTGCCTCCAGTGTGCCCAGTTCTACATGGTCTTGCCATCTGTTGGGCCTAGCTGAGGCCTCATCTCCATGGGGGAGCCTGACATGTAACCCCTACTGCACATGTGTTGAACTGGACCTTCCAGTTTAATCCTGGGACTGAGTCTTCTTCAATGGTTGATGCTCCAAGATAGCTGAAGAACAAAACTGTTACTGGCAAATAGGAACAAAGCTCTAAAAATTCTGGGAATTACTATATGACAGAATATAGGAATTACTAGAGATCTGTCCTATTCTGCAGCTGCTATTACAGGAAAGAGAAGGAGGTAGGATGGTTAGAAAAGGAAGGAGCCTTCATAAAGTGCTGGAAGGACAATTGGGGGACAATTGTTGGGTTGCCTGATGGAAAAGACAGACTATGCTCTACTGATGGGCTGAGCAGAACAGTGAGAGGGGCATCAGGTCACATTTGTGTCAGTTTCTTTTCTGTGTTTTGTATTATATGTAATAATTGTATCCCTACACAATACTGGCTTGTATTCTTCCACTCCACTCAGCCAACTTTGAAGCCTTCCTCCAGTAGACATGGTTGTTCCTCCAATGGAACTATCAGCAGAGCGATAGAATGTAAGCGGGTGGGCTGTGAAGATAAAATTGCACAGAAGGAAGCCAGGCTGAATGGCCCCTTTTGCATTACAAGCAAGTGCTTTAGGGGCCACTCAGTTCAGACCAAGCCAATGGTGCCAACAATGGGTGTCAGCTCATTTGTTGCCTTTTGTTGCAATGTTGTCCACCATTGGTTTGGTCTGAACTGAGTGGCACCTGTGGCAGTGGCAGAACAACAGTGCCTCCTTATCTCTGCTTGTTTGTGGATGCCAGTGATCTTCCAGTGGCCTTCCAGCAGTCTTATCAGAAACTCGCTCTGTAAGTTCAATAGCTGGTCTGGCCCTCAATGCAAGCCACTTTTTAAAGTAGAATTCAGTATGAATTAATACAAGCCTTTGTACTCTCTCGCTATACTACGTGAAGGCAGTGGTATGGTCTGTAATCACAGCAGACTTTTATTACTAAGTATGTGGTATTAATATACTGGTAATACATTTTAGTTTTGTCTCTGAGTTCTGATCTAGATTTTATAAGGAATTCAATTAAATAGTGCCTGTTTTAACTTTTAGGTTTATAATTAAATGGTTTTATGATGTTCTCTTATTGACTTTTATATGTATTTTGATTATTTTAATTAACTTTTATGTGTATTTTACTCTGTTATAATTCTGTATCTGTTCTTTTAATTGGAGTGCTTTAAGATCTATACCTTCAAAATGATTTGCTGTGTGAACTTGTATCTGGTCATGGACCACAATAAATTATTCACTCATTCATACTAATGTACTGGAAACTCTTGTTCTAATTCCCTTTCACCTATGAAGTTCTCTGGGTGACCTTGGTCCAGTCATTTTCTTTCTACCCAATCTACCTCACAGGGCTGTTGTGGAGATTAATTAGAGGATGGCAGAATCTTTTATCCCTTAAAAATGGAGAAACAGTGTGATAAGAAATATTGTAGATAGGCACGCAGCAAAATCCTGATCACATCTTGCTAGATTGCTAATGATTTTCAAGCATGCTGATTTTCTTTTCAGCACTGCTTATGGGTTCCCTCAAGGCACAGGTTTGGGGTAGATTATTTTTGTTGAAGAATGTCTGAGAGTCATTAAATCTATATGGAAACTTTTCACAATTGATTAGTACATATTTTCTAATGTGTGGAATAGAAGGCGTAATCATATATTTCTAATATATGATTACGGCCCTGATCTTCAGCTGCTTAAATCTGCAGATCAGGGCCAAGTGGAAAGAAGAGAGGTTTCTGCACAAATTTGAGGGACCCCCCAGGTTTGCAGAAAAATTTAAAAATGTTCCTAGAATGCGCAGAATTTCCTCTGATGCCATCTGCCTCGCCATTGCATGCGAGAGGAAGAGCTGCTGCTGCCAGGCCCACCATCACTACCTCTCTGGCAGCACTCTGGTTGCGGGGAGGAGAAAAATTGTTGTTGATCTTGCCACTGCCAGGCCTGCTGTCACTTCCTCCCGAGTGATGGCACTCTAGGTGGGAGGAGGAGGAGCTGCCACCATTGCCAGGCCTGCCATCACAGCTTCTCCGGTGGGTGGGTGGGGGTGGAGCCAGCAGCAAGAGAGAAGAAAGTGAGAAAAAAGCTTTCCTCATCAGATAGTTATGTGGAAATACAAATTATTTCTAGAAGAAGAGTTGTTTTTATAGCCCACTTTTCTCTCAAAGGATTCTCAAAGTGGCTTACAATCTCCTTCCCTTCCTCTCCTCACAACAGGCACCTTGTGAGGTAGGCGGGGCTGAGTTCTGAGAGAGCTGTGACTGCCCCAAGGTCACCCAGCAGGCTTCCTGTGGAGGAGTGGGGAATCAAAGCCGGTTCTTCAAATTAGAGTCCACCACCCTTAACAACTACACCACGCTGACTCTCTTGTACAAGGTAAAAACTAAATATTTTACATAGCAATTTAAATATGGTAATATAGCAATCATTTTAGGACCCAGTTATTGATGGACTGATCATATATATAAAATGGTCTGGTCTAGAGAATTGTTTATGGACGATAGTTTGTGCGTTTTAAAATGCCACCTACAGTTAGATTATAATACTGCAACTCAGAAATACTGAAGCTCATTATGATGTTAGTATAAGCAAATACAGCTAGCTGCGGTGGCTCAAGTGGTTAAGACGCTGTACTGCAGGCTGTGGAAGGTCAGTAGTTCAGCAGTTCAAGACCCGGGTGCCGCAAGACGGGGTGAGCTCCTGTCTCTAGTTCCAGCCCCTGCCAACCTAGCAGTTCGAAAGCAAGACATTGCAAGTAGATAAATAGGTACCACTGCGGTGGGAAGGTAACAGCGTTCCGTGCGCCTTTGTGTTTAGTCATGCCGGCCACATGACCACGGAAACGTCTTCGGACAGCGCTGGCTCTGCGGCTTTGAAACGGAGATGAGCCCCGCAACCCTAGAGTCGGATTCGACTGGCTTTCGAGCAAGGGAACCTTTACCTTTACCTTTATATTATAAAAAATCTTACACACAATACTATCTAGAAAGGAAGGGTGCATTAGATTGTTTAAATCCCATCGATTCTTTATGTAGCTAATCATTTAGGTCAGGCCTATAGGGTTGTCAACTCTGGATTATAAAATTACTGGAGATTTTGGAGCCTGGGAAGGGCAGGTGATGGGGCATAATGCCATAGAGACCACCCTCCAAAGCAGCCATTTTTTCCATGAGTACTTATCTCTGTAGTCTGAAGATTGGATGTGATTCTAGGAAATTTCCAGGCTTCACCTGGAGGCTAGCAACCCTAGGCCATAACAAATCTTCTTTGGCTCTAGGACCCAGCCAAAAAATGTAGGAGTCAGATTCATTTTTTCAGCCTTCAGAATTTTGATCAATGGGGGATCCCTTATTCCCAGAGTTGCAGGGCGCCATTGGACTTGGAAGGCTGTAACCCTTTCCAGAGTCGAAAATGGCTGATATGGGAAAGGAAAGTGGGGAAGATCTGCAGTCCTTGCACTGAGTAGTCCTTATGCTGGATCCAACCAGTGTTCCCTCTAAGCTGAGTTAGTGTGAGCTAGCTCACAGTTTTTTAGCCCCTGGCTCACACATTTTTGTCTTCGCTCACGAAGGAGAGCTCCAGAGCAAACTAATTTATGCAGTATCCAAATGGCTCGCTCACAACTTTAATGCCAGGAGCTCCCATAGTAGAATTTTTGCTCACAAGACTCTACAGCTTAGAGGGAACATTGGATCCAACCCCAGTGTCTTGTTATAATCCTTACAGCTCTGTAATATAAGTTACGTATAAGAACAAAATACAGATGCTACTGAAAAACTGAGGGGAGAAACTTCATAATTTACATTTAAAGCAGGGATATCATTTTCAGATACTACAGTTTTCTAGAACCATTAGTGTTGCCATTCCCCTGACAGGGGTGGGGGTTTACCCACTTCCAGGGCCCCTGATCCATTGGCCACAATCCGGCCAGTGGGGAAAACCCTGACCCCAAAGAGCCCTGTCCACGCCAACGTGCCCAGCCCAATGACGTCACCCGGAAGTGACACTCGTATCATTTGAGGGCAAACTCTATTATTACCATAGAGTTTTCCCTCAAATGATAGAGCATCCCCCTGCAATGTGCCCTGCCTGATGACATCACTTCTGGGTGCTGTCATCATGGCGTGTGCACAAAGTATGTGTGCCAAAAACCCCAGGGGACATAGAGGGAACCCCCTGCTGGCAGCCAGGTAAGACCTGGCAACCCGGAGAACCATAGAGCTGGAAGGGGTCCAAGGGGCCATCTAGTCCAACCCCCCTGCACAACACAGGAAATTCATGCTATCTCCTCCCCCCACTTTCCCAGTGACCCCTGCTCTATGCCCAGAGGAAGGCATTAAACCTCTAGGGTCCTTGAGCTAATCTGGCTTGGAGAAAAATTCCTTTGTGACCCCAAAGTGGCAATCAGCATTACCCTGGGCATGTAAGAATAGACCACAAGAACTGAGCACTGGCTCATCATTTACTGCCCTCCTTCTCATGATTTGCCTAAATGTCATACGAAATTTGCTGAAAATGTAAACCTTGATATCAAAGACAAAATATACAGCGGCTTTGTAGGATAATTAAAATACCAGGCATTGTAGCTTGAGCTTTTTAAGAAATGTATAACCAACAACAGGTTGACTATTAACTCATTCATTTAAAAAGAATTTAAACCTGTAATTTTCCATGTTGAAAACCACCTTTGTTCAGGAATTGCTTTCATTACTCTCCATGGCTTCATCAGAATTAAAACAAAATATAGAGGTGAGGCAGTTTGGGATATGGGTATAATAATTGTCACTTATAGAGGAGGTTGGATCGAATATCAACATAATGTTGGAAAAGTTATTGAAATTAGTCTCTTTTCAGTAGACCATATTATTCATGCTTTGGTAATTCCTGTAATAATTTTAACATATAAAAGTTGCAAATTTACTTAACATTTTTTTTAAAATTCCTTCATTGTACTACAGAAAGTAACTGGAGCTTAGGCTGAGAAATGTCACTTCCTTTGTTAATCTGGCAAATCAGCATTTGATTACTTTAAAAAATCATTTGATTATATATTCTTTAGAGAAGAGAACACATCATTTGTATTCTAAATGAAAATAAACTATAAAACTTAAGTTGAATCAACAAAATGATAACACAGCTGGTTTTTTAAAATCACTAGATGTTCCCCTTGATTTACGCGTCATAAAATTACATTTTATCCTGTTCCAGGAGGAGGGCATGATCATAAGACATCTGAGAACACTTCTTCCATCTGCAGTCAGAAAACTAATTCGATCAGATAAACTCAGCATTAGCAATACTTCTGGAATGTCAGAAGGTAAGTGGATTTTTAAAATGCAAGAAAGACACTCTGTTATTCCTTGTCTAGTAAAGAACAATGGGGGAAGACCTGGACAGGGATGGGAAACAGCTTGATAAAAAAAATGTTATAGCCTAAAGCATTTTGAAACAAACCCTTCTTCCACTGCAACTGAGTTCCGTCACAGTATAATGTTACTTTTTTTTTTTTTTTGCTATCTCCTAGGTTGTTATTACGTTACAATAGTATCAAGATTTTTGAATCAGAAATATTTGTCTGGGTAGCCTGGTTTTTCAAAAACCAACATATACATTCACAATTCTCACTTATACCAGAATTACATTGAGGTGTCACACTAAGCCACTTTGGTGGGGAGGGGAAAGGCCATGGCTAAGTGGTAGAGCTTCTCCTTTGGATCCAGAAAGTCCCAGGTTCAGTCCCCTGCTTCTACAGTTAGAGGGGTGAGGAAAGAGGTGATGTGGAAGACCTCCATCTGAGACCATGGAGAGCTTCTACCAATCTGAGTAGACGATATTGACCTTGATGGGCCAATGGTTTAATTCAGTACAAAACAGCTTTATGTGATTCATGTGAATGTTATGTGACATGTAGGTTGCCAGTTAGCTAGGAGAAAAATGCTCTACCCCTTTAATAGAGGCAAGATGTGTTAAACTCGGCAGCTGAAACTCTTCATGGCATGGAGATAAATAATATCACCTAGTATTGCTGCATATCAAGCTGACATTAAAGGGACAGCTAAAGGGGCCAGTTTAAATGTTAGCAATACTAGCAGCATCTCAGTGGTAGCCATTCCATTATCTCCGTGTAATGGGACGGCCACAAAGCAGGATTCTGTACTAGAGCTACAGCCCAGTTTGTGAATTCCGATTTGTAGTAATGTAATTATATTACTTTCAGCTTTATGCCAGCGTGTTTTGTAGCAACCCCCCCCCCCCGAACACAGAGGTGTAGCTGAAGAGTGGCCAAAAAATTGGTGTTCCTGTTGCTGTTTCTTTTTATTAAAAGTATTGTTACAATGTAACATTCAGCCAAAATTATGTAGTTTGTATAGTAACTGAGAAAAGTGTGAGACACTCCATAAAACAACCGCATTTATAACTGCTATGCTGAGAGAGTAACTTTAGACATTAGAACTTACTAATCAACGTAGCCAAACTCTTTGCACTATTTATGCCACAAATGCTAACTTCTCACATACAGACATCACTTTTTGTGGCTTGTGGGTGTTTACAAAACTGCATAAAATAAAACTTGACTCATTGGCTTAATATAGCAGACCTGCTAGTCACTGCTATTTAAAGTTGTTTGTCCTTTTCATTTGTTTTTGCTTTTTTGTCATCAGTTTTAAAAAGACAAATACTGTCCAGTCTGTCTCACTGAAAGAGAGATTGCTAAAGTGTCTTGTATTAAAACTAGCCATTAGTGAAGAAACTGGCATGAATCTGTAAGCATATCCATCTCCTTCCTTTGAAAATTAAAAATAAATCAGAAAACGCATTGAAATAGAAAGTTCAGTCCTGAAACATAACCCTGGATTCTTGAGTTAGCCTGTATATATTGTCAGTATATATTGCTAAACGAAATTTAAAAGAGATAGCTGAAAGTGCCTGTGAGTTTCAGTTTCATGTCATCACAAGCAAACTAAAACGCAAAAGTAGCATCTATAATAATAAAAAAATATGTGTGTCCGTTCGTGGCAAGCTTGATTCATTAGAAATAAACCTGGGAGTTTCAAGATTAGGCACCACCTTTAGGATGATCATAAAAATCACAGTGTCAAAAGTGAAGGAATCTGAACATCTTTGGCCAGCTTATCTCCAGAATATCCCTGTGCTATTTGCAATGGAAGTAATTAGAAGCCAGGAGGATGGAGGCAGCATTGACAGGGACAGTCAGGAAATATTGCCGTCCTTTGAAAACCAAACTTATCTGAGCTACACTTCAAACACTACTCCTTCCTCTGTGACTGTATATGCCTCCTACAAAGGTTGTCCTGGCAACCCCTGAAACTCTTTGAGACAGCTGTTTTTGCAGACTTCAGCCAGGATCAAAGTCTTCCTGCAAGGGGAAGCAAAGCCTCAGATAGAAGCCACTGGGCTGTTTGAATGGTTTGTAAAGGAAGCAAAAAAGAACTGCATAAGGCAGGGCTCCCCAATCTTTTCGAGACTGTGGGTACCTCTGGAATTCTGACACAGCATGATGGGTGCAGCCACAAAATGGCTCCCTCAAAATGGCTGCCACTGCAGTCGGAGCCAGCCACAGACTGATTGCCGTAGCTTAACTTCAGTCATACAGTAAAAATGTTTGTGCTGCGGTAGCAGCTGCTGCCAAAGCAACATTTTTTAAAAATCTGTCCAGCCAATCAGAAGCCTTGCTGAGCAAAAACGTGGCCTGGCCCCACCCACTTTCTAAAAACTATTGGCAAGAGCCAAGAAAGGCATTGACAAATGTATTTACCTTGCATGCTATTGTTTAGACTGACCTGGAAGGTAACCTGGCACAAAGCCAATGGGGAGAAAGCATGGGAAACTGGAGCCTGTTTGCTAACAACCATTGGTTAATGTATTCAGGTGATTTCCTTCTAGGGTCAAGAAGAAAGAATCTCCATTACCAACCATGTGGTCAGTCAATCTGTTGTTGTACTTGTAACAGTAAAGATGTAGTCTTGCTGTTTTGTAGATTTCCTGTGTACCTTTCCCTTTAGAAATACAGATTTTTACATAGAAAGAATATGCTTCCTCTCCAGTGAACAAAGATCCATTGCGACTTCCGGTTGATGGCGGCACGCTCATGGACTCACCTCCCGGACCTCCCGGGGTGTCTCCGTGCTCTGGTGGACGGAGGGGGTGAGCAGGCTCGTAACCCCCCCCAGGAGCCTGGGGAAGGGCACCTGGCCAAGGAGCTTTGAGGAGGTAGCCTCTTCTCTGGCTAAATGCCAGAGAATCAAGGCTCCCCCTTGCTCCAGTGGTCCATCCAGCCGAGAGACCTGATGGTACAAGTCAAGCTAGCCAGGTCAAGCACAGGAGACCAGGCGTTTGAAATGATGAATGAAGAGGGGTCGGAAGACCAACTATGTACGTGAGTGAAATGAGAACTGATTTTTAAACGAAAAGACACTCCTTACCCGAAGCAGCGAAACAGCAGAAGCGAGTGGTGGGAGGGACGCCTCCCATGCCCATAAATCGTTGAGCGAAAGGGGAGGGAGTGGAAGAATAAACAAGAAATTGCCCAGAAGTACTCATCCATCGAGCTATACAGATAAGCGCATATTCAGAGACTTTAAAATTTATTGCGAAAGCAAACAAATGAGAAAAGGATGGTGGGGAAGAGGGACAGGGACAAAGAGAAACTTTTAAAAGCGAAACTAGAGTCCCCGGAAACGACCAGTGAGACGATGAAGGCGATGACAGAGGTCAGGCGCCCTCTGCTGGAACAGCTCAATGTCTTTAAAGAACAGATGTCTGTTGTAACAGCGAATATTACTGCAGAACAAAAGCAGCTGCAAGTTGTGACAACAAGCATTACTGCTCAACAAACGCAAATAACGGATTTGATTCAAGTAATGAAGCAGGATGCTGAGAAAGTAAAGGAAATGGCTGAGACAACGCAGATAGTGAGGAAAAAAGTGCAAAAATTGGAAAAGAAAACTGTATCTTTGGAAGATCAGATGCTGCAAGTGCAAATGGATAAGGCTAATATGGTCCTGCGCTTCCAAGGGGTGCCAGAGAAAAGAGGAGAGAATCTTAAAGAACTTATGAGTGAGCTACTTGCCCCAGTAGCAGATATAAAGGCGGACTTGCTACTCAACAACATGGATGTGGCCTACAGGTCATATTCAGGATACATAAAGAAAAATAATCTGCCTGGGAAAATTGTAGCAAGATTCTCGAAGAGGCACGTCAGGGATGCTATCCTGAAAGCAGTTGCTGCAACATCCCTGAAGGTGGGGGAGAATGCTGTCAGAACGCTAAAGGATATTCCATTTGAAGTAAGACAATGCAGAAAGAAATACAAAGAACTTGTGTTTTTCCTCCAAACAAACTCAATTGGATATAAATGGCTGTTTCCAGAAGGAGTAATATTCAAGATCAAGGAGAAGAAGGTCAAGATTGACTCTGTTCTTAAAGCTCAAGAGTTTCTAAAGGAGCAGCTGGGAAGGCCAGAGGACGAGAAAAAAGAAGAGGACGATAAGTCCAGTGGAGAGCTGGAAACTGGTTCGTCTGGTGAGGACTCTTTGTCTGAGCAGGGGGCATCAGCCCCGAAAAGTTCCTACAAACTGCAGAAGAGAGAGAAGAAGAAGTAAAGGCTGAAGGACTCTGAATTGTGCCTTTGAGAACTTTGGTTCTAGGGGATGATGGGAGGCACTGTTATTGGGCAATTAAATGTAACTGGGGATGGTTAAAAGGGTTAAAAGATTGACACAGTTCATAAGAAGTACAAAGATGAAAAGTCCTCTCTTGGGTTTTTTGTTAGTAGTGGGTTCTTTACTTTCTCCCTTATAAGTAGCTTTCCCTTTTTTCTGTTTTTGTAGTGTTTAAAAAATAAAAAATAAAAAACCCCTCCGGGGGCTTAAAAAACAAAAACAAAAAACAAAGATCCATTGCAAGCTCTGAATATCTAACTACTTTTACCAAATTTTCCAACAATTATTGTTGGACAAAATGTATTGAAAATACTTATTTCCATAAGAGAAAAATATGGCCAGATGCCACTTATGGAGTTAGTCCATGAAGCGTGAAAAGGCAGTCTGTGAAGCATACAAGGGAAGAGCCCCTGTAAAATAATATTGTAAATGCAGCAAGCTACGGGATTGGTGAGTGAAGGGAGCAGGGGTTGACCCCAGTATGAAATATAACTCTTAATATCTATATCATGCTTAGTCTCCAAGAAAATCAGAACTGCTAACTGACATGACTTAGAGAGGCTGCAGCTATTGCATGTTCCTCAAAATTGGTGCCACTATCATCTGGCATGAAGCTGTACTGTTAGCAGCAGAAAGGAGGAAGAGAGGCAAGCTAAAGCCAGACCTTAGCCAAAATTACAGCTTTAGGATCAAAAGCAGAAACCAAGTTGGTGTAGCAAATTATTCCCAGCTCTCTCACATTTAGAGAAGTCTGAACTTGATGTAGAAACAAGAGGACGATTTCCCTAAGACCATTTCCAGAAGTGTCTGAGCAAACAGATGTGGGCATAGGCGTAATCTTCGTGGGGGCGGCAGGGCTTCAGCCCCCGCCGAAATTTTCAGGAAGGTGCTCAGCCTCCCCCGGGAGCCACCCTTGTTCCTAGCAAAGCAATGCCTCTGGCCCAGCCCCAGCCCCCCCCCCCCCGGGCAATTGGAAAGTCTACACCCTTGGATGTGGCAGTGTATCTGGTTCAAAATGGACTACATCTTAAAGTGACTATAAGGTGATGTTGCAAAAGAGAATGTCAGAAACATGTTTCCATTTTAATAACTAGTATCTATGCCCAAATAAACAAGGGAATGTGTGTGTAGTCGACATAACAAGCTAAAATTCTTTTTTCTTAATGCTTACAGGGTTTAAACAGGCAAATGTTATAATTCTGCACAAATCTCTTGTGGATGACTTTGAACATTTTTGCCATGCAAATGAAGGCCCCCTTCCATTGCTCTACAGAAGTAAACCGGGGGAATGGAAATGCCCTACTATGAGCACTGATTCTGATATTAGGTATGCATGGAGTTATCTAACATAGGTCTGATATGAATGCAAAAATATCATTTTAGTGCAGTAAGCCATATGCAGACATCGTCTGCACATTCAATTCATTTTGCTTACAGCTACAACTTTTGCTACTAAATAAAGAATTTATGAGACCTTCTTTTGGTTTTTGAGACTAGGTTTGGGATTGCCAAAGTTAACAGAACTAAACTAAACATTACTGTTTTTAAAGAGTTGTGTTGCCTGTAGCTACACAGCAGCTGCGGGAAATGGATCTTGCCCCAACCGGAGCTATTTTCCCATGCAAAAACTGTGTTGTGTGGGAGTTACTTGACTGATTTTGCTGTTCGATGGGGAGTATCTGTGCACAAGGAGCAGCAAAATTGGGAAAATTGGAAGGAAGGAAGGTACAAAACGTTTTGGCTTCCCACAGCTTTGCTTCAGCATGTCTACAGATTAATGTAGCATTAAACTTCTAGTACAACTGCCTGCATGTATAGCCATTTGAGTATTATAACTGTAAAGACCTTTGTCAAGCATCATAAAGTTCAGATAAGTAATCAAGACCTGAAACAAAATTTCAAACTAATATGAAACATGGCTACATTTTAATATGAAATTTTTAAAAATCCAGAAAGACTTCCAGGAACACTTTGAATAAACCTAAATCCCAAGTCTTGTTAATCAATTTGCCATTCCCAGTACTCCTTGGAGCGAATGCAGTCAACAATGTTATCCCTATTTTTCTAAAAGCCCTAAATCAAGGCCAGTAATATGAAGTATGAATACAGCTACACTTAATGATGCCCTTCTTATCTCCCACCTTTGATGTATGAATGCAATTCCACCTCTGACAACATTGATAACATGTTGGGAGCACCTTTTTGTTGGGTTCATAGATTTGTGGATCATCTAAGTATGATAAATGCAACTTCAATAACTGGACTCAGCAGGTTCACATTTACACACACATCCCGCAACAGCCTCTAGCATAGAGGATGAAGGAAATTGACACATTAAATTTTAAACGACTGACTCCAGTTGGCCAAACTTAAACAATGCTTCTCAGTGTGTTGATAACATTCGTTTCTTTTAATAGAACTGACTGTCTGCAGTACAGGAAATATGAGAATGGATTATGTACAGGAATTCTGACAAGTTTGAAGGAATATTCTGAACAGTTAAAAGACATGGTGACTTTCTATCTAGGATGTAGTTTCACATTTGAAAAGGCAGTCCAGAAGGTTGGCATCCCTGTAAGAAATGTTGAACAGAAATGTAACGTGAGCATGTACAAGGTAAGAACAGGGGATAAATTTAAAAACATTCATGATAATTAAAACCAATGAAACCAGGTAGTTACAATGACCAAAAGGTGGATTCAGGCCAAACAATATACCTTCAAAAGTTGGCTGTTTGGTAGTAGTGTTACTTGTGGAGTTATGAAAATATTTCCAAGAAAATTAATGCTATTGAATCAAAACACAATACATAAATTATTCCATCAGAGAATAATATGGTCTAAAGACCTTAGAGTCTTAAAAAAGAATAAAAATAAAGACCTGCTTGATCAATGGACCACCTCTGCTGAACATTTGTACTTAAAACAAACTACCTTTCAAGCCAAGTCTCCAGTAAATGCCATCACAGCATACCAAGACATCATTAACTCCTTAACTGAGATTCTAGGATCAACATACTTATCAAGAAATGCCAAAGGTGCCCCTACTTGGTTTGATTCTGAATGCTGGACTGCTAAGAAAAATCTTCACTATCTATTTTCCTTACTACGTGCCCCTTTTTCTCCTGAGTTAGCTGCTCTCTATCTTGAAGCAAAAAAAGGATGTCAGCTTCTCTTTGGGGGGAAAAGACATACTCATGCCTTGAAGAACTGGTCTAGATTATTGCACACTTCCCGCACAAGGAATATGAAAGATTTTTGGGTGATGGTTTCACAAGTTAACTTCTCCTTTAACACAGTCTACTCTCTACCTATCCTAACTTCTGACTGGACTGTCTATTATTCCAACTTGTTTTCAGACCCGGTACTGCCTGATTCTTCTAACCATCTCCAAATCCCTTCTGATATACCTGCCTGGCCCCCGGTCTCTAGAGAAGAAATTCTTGAACTTATAGCCTCTATTAAATCGGGTAAGGCTCCAGGCCCAGATGGTAGCTGACCTAATAAAAAACAACCCAGACTGGTGGTCTGAACTGCTAGCTCACTTGTTCACTCTTGTTGATAAATTTGGGATATTACCGGATTCCTGGCTAACCTCCATCATAGTTCCAGTCTTTTAAAAAGGCAATCCAAAAACTCCCACCAATTATCGCCCTATAAGTTTACTCTCAGTATTAGGGAAATTGCACTCCAAACATCTCCTGAATCGTCTATTTGACTGGATGTCTAATAATAATCTCTCAGGTAAAGAACAAGTGGGTTATCGCCCGGACACTCTACCCTTGACCATTGACTCACACTTGCCTTTTTGGCGGAGAAATACTCCTTGCATTTAAAAGGCAAACTATGGCCCTGGTCACACGGAGCATTAGCCACGCTAGAGGGACGGAAGATAGGCGGAGTTTCCGGGTGCGATCTCACCGGCACATCTGGGAAGCGTCCGTGGCGCAACTGAGGCTTCCCGCCGAAGATGCACAGTAAAAAACTAGTACCTCGGTGGTACTAGTTTCCTGACACCGCGGGGCAAGGGCGGGTGTCTGATCGCGTTTCCGAAGGTAGTTCCGGCGCCCGCCCATGTCCCCTCAGATAAAGGGTTTTTTTTCAAAGTCTCCACGGATGCGCACACACACACAAGGGAGCATGCGCACAATTGCGTTTTAAAAAAACAACAACCAACCTGCTTTCCCTGCGCCCTGCTTCTTTGCCGCGCCGCAGGACTTTGGAGTGATCGGCACCTCCCCCCACCACGGGACCTCCACGGGACCTCGATAGGTAGGTCTGCTCGAGCAACCACGCGGTTTTTAGCCCCGGGGCTAACAGCCACGTTTCCCCCCGCAGTTTTCTGCCCGTGTGACCGGGACCTTAATGTAGCTTTTATAGACTTGCGGGGTGCATTTGATTCTATCAATAGATCTCTTCTATGGACTAAACTATGGACTAAACTAGCCAATATGGGAATGGACCCACACCTGCTATTCCTGATACATTAACTCCATTAATCCAATAGCTGTCAAGTACGTTTAATCACAAAGGCCTTTTGACTGAAAAGATTCCTGTCACCAAAGGGGTAAAACAGAGATGTCCCCATGCTCCTGTCCTTTTCAGTTTATTTCTGTTTGACTTGCCAGAATATCTAACTGAATTTGAAGACCATGTGCCAAAGATGAACTCGCTTCCAGTTCCCCTTTTGCTGTATGCAGACGACACTGTTCTCTTATCCATTACCAAGATTGGACTTTTATGTCTGCTCTCAGCTTTTTCGGGTTTCTGTTCTAAGAATGACTTGTCTATTAACTCTCAGAAAACTAAGATCCTGATATTTACCAAGGCTTGGAAACCCTGTCCATGGAAGGTAGATGGGAAACCTGTGGAACAAGTTAAAGCCTTCAGATATTTGGGCCTTCTCTTTCACCATCAACTTAATTGGTCTTTTCATCGGAAGGCAGCTATCTTAACTGTAAGGAATCAACTGCTTGCAGTCTCCTGGTTCCATTTTCATATTGGAAATCAGTATGTACCAGCTGCTCTTCAGATTTTTCAGACGACGGTTGTTAACCAGCTCTTATATGGGATTCCAATTTGGATTTTGGCAGTCAATACTGAAGTGGATCGTATTGCCGCTATTTTCTTACGCCATATTCTGGGTGTACCAAATATGATTAGACTTTTTACTATTTCTTGCAAACTTGGCCTCCACCTGCCTTCAACTATTGCCTGGATGATTACTATTAAATATTGGCTGTGCTTCCAATTCCAGGCTTGTCCTAACCAGGGGTCATTTGGGGCTGGAGTGCGCTGGAGCGCCGCTCCAGCAGCCCCAGTGGTGGCAAGCCCCGCCCCCAGCTCCCCACCCCCAAGCTCCTTCAGTCTAGAGTCGCGGCACAGCAGTGGCACGCCCCCCCCCAGCCTGCCTTGGCAGGCTGGCTGGGAAAGGGGGGACTTTTGAAGATCCCCCCCTTTTGTTTCTCCTACCGGCCTGCTAAGGCTGGCTGGGGGGGGGGGAAGCGAAGAGAGAAGGGGTTTAAACTTTAAACCTCTTCTCTCTGTAGTCTCCATTCTATTCTATAGCCCCCTAGAATAGAATGGATTCTATTCTTGGCAGGCCGGCTGGGGAAGCAAAAGGGGAACAACTTCAAAAGCCTCCCCTTCCCCAGCCGGCCTGCCAAGGCAGGTGGGGGGGTGAAGTGAGAAGGGGTTTAAAGTGCTAGGGGAGGGAAGGGGAGGCTGTTGAAGATGCCTCCCCCCCTTTTGCTTCCCCTTCTGAGATAACTTCCGGTGATGTCAGGGGCCGTGGCATATGCTAATGAGCTATTATGCTAACAGCTTATTAGGTATGTTAATGAGCTCCTCCAGCTCTTTTTCTATGAAATGACCCCTGGTCCTAACACTCTGCTGTATGATTTATTAAGGGACTCCTATATCTCTAAATGGTACCAACATATTAGGTCCAAAATTGATTCTATTGGCATCAACTTGGAGTCCCTAACTAATTGCAATGAGAACCAATTATTTCACATTATCCATCAGAGAATTTGGGATATTGAGACTCAGACCATTGCTGCGGGAACCAACATGATTTGCTCTCCTTGTTTTCATGGCCTGCTGTTTACCCCAGGGCTAGGAGCTGCTTACATGCAAAATCTTACCAATCCTTGACAGTGTTGGGCCTTTATGCTTGCTAGACTGAATATTTTCCCTTCAGCTGTTCTTTCAGGCAGATATCATAACATACCTTTTAAGAACAGACTATGTAAATTTTGTTTACTGGAACCTGACACCATTTCCCATATTTTACTTCGCTGTCCCATGCGTAGTAAGGTTCGTCAACAACTTCTTGATCCTGTTATTTTCAACCTCTCTGGCCCCCCAGAGAGAATTACTCAATATTTACTTGCTGATAAATCCATCAAATGGACAGAACTTGTGGCTGAATATTTGGCTATTGTGTTGAATAAGGTTAACTATGTTTCTAAGACCAAGGCAGAGAATGTTTGATTAATTTTGCTCTTCTGTGTTCTTATTCCTGACACTGTTTTATTGCCCCATCTGGACTGTACTATTCCTATTTTAATTATGTAAGATTATTCTGTATTTTATTACTTTTTATGCCATTAAAGGTTTCTGAATCTGAATCTGACATAAATTATTTAGTTCAGATGTAAGCAGTCCCAGTTGTGTGAGGCTTTTCACTGGCTCACACAGCAGGCTACATGGTTTACTTCCAGACATGCTGTGGCCTCTGGGAAGTAGAAGGAAAGAAAGGGAGTGCTAGATTCAGATTAACTGGATGCATCCTGTTCACTGTACACTGCCTGTCCTTGATCTAGATTATTTACTTATGTAAACTATGAGGATTAATTCATATTTCTAATGTGTTAAACTATTATTTCAATTCTCTAAGTCTTTATAATTTTAAAATGAAAGAGACTTCAAGGACCTTGATAATTTTTTTAAAAAAATCTTTACCAGACTGCTGTGCCTTGCCGTGATTCTGAACATTTCCATTGTAATCTAGTGGTATCAATGAGACCAATTCCTAGTGACAAATTGGAAATGGTTGTGCAAACCACCAACCCAATGAAACAATCACATGGAGCACCAGTTCACATTGGTTATCCGGGTCAGTATCTTTAATATACACACATACACATATATAATTTCTATATGTTTTTATATGATATTTTAAGTGGCAGGTTTATCTAGCCGGTCAGCATGCTTCCTACATTCTGTCCTGTGGGGACTTCACACAGTAACTCTTAGCATTTGTATAGCACTTCCAGGGTTCAAAATCCATCACACACATTATATTCTAAAGTAGCCCAGTATTCTTATTCTGGTATGGTAGGATGGAGAGTTGAGGCTGAAAATGGCTTCGCTAAAGCTACCTAGTGAGTATGCCAAGATCTGAACCAGAGTCATGCTGATCAAAGCTCATTCAGTAGCTCTGAACAATGAGTAAGCTAATGTGTTCTGACATAGATTCAGGTAAGTAGCTGTGTTGGTCTAAAGCAGGGGTGGCCAAATTGCGGCTTGGGAGCCACATGCGGCTCTTTCACACATATTGTGTGGCTCCTACCAGGGTGGCTGGGGAAACAAAGGGGAGGCATGCCTCCCCAAATGGTCTTCCCTTCCCCAAGCAGTGTTCCTCTCCCTGGGTAGGCTTGAGGTGGGGGGGAGCAGAGAAAGAAAGTAACTTTAACTTTAAATGTATTGTCAAAGCTGCCACCACCACCCCACCAGCCAGCTTGGAGAAGGAAGGGAGGGGGGTTGGAGAACGCATGTAAAATTTAAGTTTCTTTCTTTCCACCTCTCTCTCTCTCTTTTCCCTTTCCTCCCTCACTCCCCTATCTATTTGCTTTCTTTCCACTTCTTTCTTTCTTTTCACCTTTCTCTCTTCCTTCCTCCCCCTCACTCATATCTTTGCTTTCTCTCTCTCTTTCTTTCTCTCTTCCTTCCATCCTCCCCCATCTATTTGCTTTCTTTGTTTCTCTCTCTCTCCCCCTTCCTTCCCCCCTTCCCCATCTACTTACTTTCTTTCCACCTTTCTTTCTCTTTTTCTCTCTTTCTCTTTCTCACTTTCTTTCTCTCTCTCTTTCTTCCCCCTCCCCCATCTATTTGCTTTCTTTGTTTCTCTCTCTCTTTCCTTATTTTTTCCACACACCCCCCCTCTCTCTCTTTCTCTCAAACAAATAGATATATCATTAGCAAAAAATAAATATAATTGGACAAATAAATATCATTATCAATATCTGTTTTACCGTTTTTATTTTTATTTTGGCAGTCTCATTTAATGTTAGTAAAAAGCAAATGTGCATATTTTCAATAAAAACGTGTGTAATATTTGTTCATGTCTTTGCAGCTCTCAAACATCTGACGTTTATTCTATGTGGCTCTTATGTTAGGCAAGTTTGGCTACCCCTGGTCTAAAGCAACAGAGCAAAGTTTCAGTCCAGGGGGATATTTAAGACCAATGAAGTTTAATTCCGGATATAAGCTTTTGTGTGCATCCACATTTCTTCAGATACATTGGCATTTAGCAGGCTGACCGCCATCAGTTCACTGTATAATGAGCTCCTGGTTAGTAAAGATATCTGGTTAATATCTGGAGTTGTACAAGAATGGCATGTATGGACTGGTAATTTCTATTTCATTGGATCTGAGGAAGTGTGCATACACACAAAAGCTTATACCTTGAATAAAACTTTGTTGGTCTTAAAGGTGCCGCTGGACAAAGACTCTATGGTACAAATGGCTTCTATCATTATTTTTTGCCCAAATAGCACAGCGTCACTGTGATATCACTGATGTGATAATATCACTTCCATTGCACATTGGAAGTGACATTGCCGTGTAGCTGACAGCACAGCCTGGGCCTCCCTACTGTTCCTGGTAAGTTTCCCCAACAGCCAGCTGATTGGCAGCAAGGGGGCAGAGCCTGGCAGGGGGGAATTCCCTGCCTCCAGGGGGACTGGCAACCCTAGCTGCTGTAGCATTTAGAAGATGATGTTTGTTAACTATATGTTTGTTAACTAGACAGCAATAAGAAGGCAGTGAAAGCCAAAATGTAAATGGGTGGGAGGGATGAATTTCACATATTGATTTGAGCTATTTAGCCAAACTAGTAGAAAAGCAACACAAGCCATACAAAACAAGGAAGGTAATTAATTTTAATAAATGTGCCGCATTAATGAATGTAAGGGATATATGGAGTAAAATCAAATGTTATATGAAGAAAGAGGATGGTATAATTAGGTCAAACAACAGGGCCACATATGCAGTTGTCCACATATGGAGTTTAATTGCTGTTTTAATTGTTACTGTTGTAATATAGAGTCATTGAGTCTGCCTTAACTTTGTCATTACTACTGCTGCAATATAAATATGATTGTAATATTTGTTAATTTCAGGTCTATTAGGTATCAAAGATCTTTCCAAGGTAGACTATGGTGATGAGGTACAAGCTCATCCAGAGGATGTTCCAGTCTTTTGGGCGTGTGGAGTAACAGGAGTGGAAGCCATCAGTAATTGCAGTATGTATCTAATAAGCTTATTAGAATTGTTCTTTTTCATAGAAACTCAAGAGAAATTAAATCTAGCTGGTGGCCCTAGTGAATGGAATTTGCTCTCCTCTGAAGGCCCACCTGTTATTCCAGTTACGGTGATGTGTCTGATGCCTGTTTCCACAAACTGGGTAGAATGTTGCCATAGAGACTGGCAGGGGTCATTTCATAGAAAAAGAGCTAGGGGAACTCATTAGCATAACTCATTAGCATATGCCACACCCCCTGACATCACCGGAAGTGTGTCATAAGGCCACACCTCCTGACATCACCGGAAATGTGTCATAAGGCCACACAACCTGCCTCCAATGGGCCCGGCGGTGGACCTGCAAGGCCAGCGGGAGTGCAAGGAAGCCCCGCGAAGGCCCTCCCTGGCCCCAGGCAGGCAGGGGTGGGGAGAGGCGGGGAGGAAGCAACTTACCCTCCCTCTTCTCCTGCCTCCTCCTGGCTGAATGAGGGCTGGAAGCAGGGTGGCCGGAAGCAGGGGGCAGGGCTTCGTCATGTGCCCCACCCTCCCGTACCTCACCCGGGGGAACTGCGTTCCCCCGCGTTCCCCCCCAAAATGACCTCTGGAGACTGGCAACACCTATTGGCCGTCAAAAGGCCAAAGTGGAATCAGAATAGTTATATTGTGCCATTTGTTTTAATTTCTATAAATCATAGCAGAGATCTCAAGCAAGGCAAATTGTGCCTGAAGCTTAGGTGCAGCATTTTTCAGTGTTTCTAGAGTATTTCTTAGATGATCGAGAACACTACAAATGACTTTCTGAGATACAAGAGATGGGCTTACATGAAGAATATTCGTCCATTTAGTGTTGGCCAGCTGGCTACATGTTTAGGTCTAACTTATTTCAGCTGGTTCCTGAGCCTGTTGATTTCTTAGATACTGTGCCTTGCAAAGTTAGATCCTTAGTATCCTCTCTGAAGCGTAAACATCAGAGACCTTCAAGATACAAAGTTACCACCTATACCTGTCCTGCTTAGACAGCCTCCTAATTTAAAACAGGTTAGCCCAGGGATGTTATTCCTATGGTCCGCGAGCCAGAAGCAGCCAGCTCAGGGCTTTGATCAGGCTCACGGCTCTCTTCTCCACCCCCCTCCCTCTCCCCTGCCAGTCCTTACCCTTCTGAGGGAGATCCGAACTTTCCAGCTGGCTGGGCCTTGTCTTCTCCTCTTTCTCCTCCAGGAGGAAGCTCCTCTGGGCCAAAGCCCAAAAAAAGTTGCCAAGAAAATGCGGAATGAATTTTCCTTTAAGGTCTCTAGGCAGCCCCCAGAATGGAATGATGATCCCTGGGAGTAGCAGCTGTGTTTTGGGAATGGAATTCCACTCTGGGGGCTGTCATTCCAGTCGTAGAGTAGTCTATCTGGACTCAGAAACCTTAATGGAAAATCCATTCCATATTTTCTTTCCAACTTTTTTTGAGTTGCAATGTATTTCAATGGAGTGGAGCTCAAGTAGTGGTTTGGGAGGTGTCAGTTATCAAAGACTGTTAAATAAACAAAATATGACAAGAGTGTTATGTTCTAAGCATGTTTGTATTTTAAGTTTAAAAAACTTTATTGCGTCCTTTATAAAGTTAATATCTTCACTACCTGGCATTACATTTTATGACACACATGGCCTGGCCTGACAGAGTCCCATTTATGTCAGATCTGGCCCTCATAACAAATGAGTTTGACACCCCTGGGTTAGCCCCTACACCAATGGACACAAATCTGACATTAAAAATTACAGTATTCAGAAACCAGTGGGAAAACATTTTAGTCTCCCTGGGCACTCAGTTCCTGACCTTAAGAAAACCTGGGACACTGCTGTTTTGCATAACTTGTGAATGGTCACTGTATTTTTAAATTAGATTTCAATTTTACCCAATTACAAATCATTGTGTACTCCCTGCATTCATGCCCCCCTTATCATTTTGTTTTATATAATCCCACATAAAATGACTACATAGTGAGGATCCATTTATTGTGTCCGAAGAGGTGAGCTGTAGTCTGCAATGCCTCATGCTAGAATAGAATTTTGTGTATACCAAGATTCCTGTTTATTTTTGTGGCAACAGACTAACAAGGCTACCCCTCCTGAATTATTCTCAAAGTATACAAGGAATGGTGATTACAATAAAACACACCTTTAATCTAGAGAGTGGCCGAACAAATTTTATAGTAATTCCTGGGGCTTCTTTTCTGATGACTCCTTTAAACATCAGAGTTTATTATCAAATTGCCATTATTTTAAACACCATGAACAGCAATTCTATGTAAAGGAATGTTGCCATATTTTAAATCGCCACTACATTTATTGTTTTCTCCAAAAAGAAATGGACCATTCTCCTGATCCATATTTCTGGCTGATCAGTTGGTCTAAACACATTTGTTTGATCTCTCCCTAGATATGATAACAGAGGAAAGCTGGGGCCCTGACTCACCTGGGGGCCTTTTTGTAGCACTGCAGGGAGGGGGAAGAGAGAGGGTGTCCATGGCGGACCATCTGGAAGGGGCAGGCTGACAGCAAGCGTAGGAAGCTGGGGCCTGCCTGACCCAACATCGACCCTATCAACAGGATCCTGGGTGTCCAGGGAGGTGGGGGCTCCCTGGCCAATTTTTAGGACACTGTGCCACTCCCACTTGCCATCTTCAGTGTTGGACGGCTTGGCCCCCCCCATCCCTTTAATTAGGTGTAGTTTGTTGGGGGTTTTGCATGTGGTTTTGTTTCACTTGATTTTCTTCCTTGTCACAAACAATTTGGTAGTATCAGCATGGGGCTGGATCCATTATCAGGAAATCTGGCCTGCGTGCCCATTTCCTGAGTTTGGGGGATCTCATTGAGGGATTTTGGCATGAGGGTCAAGTGGTACAGCCCAGGGGCACAGCTGGGGATTACCCTCATGCCCAGGTGGCAGGGGAGACCATAGGGCATGGCCTTGTAATATCCAGAGACCTGTCATCCCAAGGTGTACAGCAGATCATCAACTGGCAGGGGGTCAGTCGATGGATGGGATCCGGTACCCCATGCTCTGCCAAAGCATACTACAGCTGTAATCAACAAAATTACAACTTATTTCCCCCATGTTTCTGAAAATTGTGTGCGTGCATGTGTTATTTCAATCAAAACTGTAAACAGGGTTAGTATTTAGCTATGGTTATGGAGGAACTCTTGTCTGGGTGCCTGCCTCGCCCCTTCCTCTTGGCTCTGAGGCCGAAAACCAAACTGATATCTTCTGCAAGTGGTAGAGGCAAGTACCATCAAGTCGCAGCCGACTTATGACAATCCCATCGGTTTTTCAAGGGAAGAGATGTTCAGAGGTGATTTGCCATTGCATGCCTATGTATCAGGACCTTGGTATATCTCGGTAGTCTTCCATCTAAATACTAACCAGGGCCAACTCTGCTTAGCATCCAATATTGGGCTAGCCTGAGCTATCCAGTTTGGGGCCTTCTGCAAGTACTATACCATTTAAACTACTTGTACCAGGGCAAAATGAGAAAGAAAGAATTGGCACGCACAGAAAATAAGTGTTATCTACATATAACATTCCCTATTCCTACTTTATCCTCTCAGTGTTTAATAAGTCTCCATGTTTTGGATGTGTTTGGTTGTTTTTAATTTTTATTTTATTTTATCTGGGATAGATGGGAGTATCTCCTTTCTGTAGTATCACCAATTTAAGGTACAACCTATGAAGAAGTCTGGATTATTTTTCCTGTATGGTCTCTTAAATTTTTTTGTTTCAGAGCCTCCACTGGCTTTTACCCATTCTCCTGGCTGCATGTTTATCACTGATTTGAAGGATGAAGATGCTGCAGCTGATTATGGCAAAGAAATCCCTGAAGTTTACTGTATTTGTCAGAATCCTTTGCATTATAGCATCACATCTACAACAGCCGCCCAAAAAATTAGAAGGCTAGAAGAGATCATTGGAGTGGACCCAGGTGAAAGCAAAAAGAGAGTACAAAGAAATAAATATTCTTACTTAAAATGTTAACTATAGAATTTTTGTGAGATAATGTATTACCAAAGAGAAAATTAAAACATTAGAAGTTGTAGTTCTTGAAGAATTAGCTCAATCTGAAGCAAAAATCTATATAATCGCCAAGTGTGCCCCCGATCTGCAGGTATCTAGATCTACAGACAGGGGCACATTTACTCCAAACAGGCTTTTCTGCAAATTTGGGTGACCCCCTAGGTTTGCAGAAAAAATTGAAAAGTTAAAAAAAAAAAGTCAGGGGGGCTAAATCCCCCCACATAAAAAGCATTGTCTGCACATGCGCAGGCAATGTACTTACCTTAGAGCAGCTCGAAAGGGGCCTGGTGATTGCTGTGGCAACAGAGCCTTGGATCTGGCAACAGAGACTTGGATCTAGGAGCAGGCGGGAGCAGGAAAGTGTCCCACCTGGAGCTACTCTGGGCAAGCCACAGAGAGTGAGGAAGGGGGAAGGAAGCCTCAGTGGGCCCACTCAGAGCCGCTCTGGGCGAGCAGCTGAGATTGGGAATGGGGGGGGGAAGAAGCTTTCGCTGGTTCTCCTGGAGCTGCTCTGGGTGAGCCTCAGAGAGCGTGGGGGGGGGGGGGGAAGGGGGGGGCCCACTTTGAGCAGCTCCAGGTGAGCCACAGGGAGGGGGGGGAGCTTTGGCTGGCTCGCCCAGAGCTGCTCCAGGCTAGCTGCAGAGAACAGCAGGGAGGAGGGAAAGCAGTGGGCCCAGCAGCGGCTGTAGGGGAGTCAGGGGTCATACTAGGTCCAGTGAGAAAATGTGGAGGAAGATGGGATCCCCCACAAGTCTCGCAGGCCCCCACTTGTTCTTGGCTAATGCTCAGCTGTACTCTCCACTGCCCTGGCTTTTCCTTAATCTTCTGCAGAAGTGGGTGGGGAATGCACAATGTGCAATATAATAAGCAGAGGAAAGCTCAATCTAATCAAACTAATAAACCTATATTATTGACTGGACTGGAAGGAAAAAATAGTACAGCAGCACTGAAGGTTCCTTCTATTCCCCTACCAAACTGCCATTAATCAATGAATAGTTCCTACTGAAAGGTGCCCTCAAATTTATTTTTTTTGTTGCAAGGCAATGTTCTGATGAATGTTCTCAGTCTATATTTCATTATTCTTATCTGTGTTTAGGAGACAGAGGTGTGAAACACTTGTGCTCTCGGGATGAACTTCTGAAGGCATGTCTGTCCATTTCACATGCTCATTCAGTGTTGATTACCACTGGATTTCCTACCCACTTCAATTATGAGCCCCCTGAAGAGAATGATGGGCCTCCAGGAGCCATTGCAATGGCAGCCATGTTGAAAGCCTTGGGAAAACAGGTTGCTGTAGTAACTGATCAAAGGGCTATAGACTTGAATGAGAAGGTTATTAAAGAAGCTGTCAAACAAGGTAAAGCCTTCTGTTTTGCAGTAACAAAAGTGACTTGTTTTATTAACTGGGTTATGTCTTTTGCTTAAAATGCTGCTTCCGTTATCACTATAGATTCTTTTTCTTGACTTAAGATAGTCCATTTTCTTATCAAACAGGGATCCTGAAGACTCCAGTTCCTGTCATTAGCTATCATAGCGAATCTGCAGGTTCAGCTATGCAGTTTTTGTGTGAAGATGGAAATCCAGAAAAGCCCAAGTATGTTACCAAAAAGCAAAGCAATGGCAAGATGGACCGAGAGAGGAGACAGCTGAGGGAAAGAAGGATTAGCGAGTACAAAGAATGAAGGCCGTGAGCTATAGGAAATAACTTTACTCATAGGCTAGGCTTAGGAGGGTGTGCACTACTGGAGGGATGGGGAAGAGGGAAGGGTGCTGGCAAGGCACAGGAACTGAAAGCCAGGGGTGGGGAAAGCAGGAAGTCCAAGAAGCAGGATGATGGCTACTGAATCTTTTGAAAGCTTTGGTGGCAGACAGTATTATTATTATTATTATTATTATCATCATCATCATCATTATCATTATTAATAATAATAACAATAACAACAACAAAAACCTTATTTGACTTCTCCCTGTGCGTACTTGTTAGCACCCTTAGTGTGTGTTTGAATGTGTCAAATGGAAAAGTCCTTCGCAACGGATAAGATGAAGAAGTATGAGATGTAACTGATTTTAAAATGAACACACACCATTTTCTCCACTTGGTGGTTTTCAAAAATAGTGTTTGATGAAGTGCCACTGGGTCTATTAACAACATCAAGCCTGAATACTGGAGACACTTTTCATAATTAATGTTTTTTCCTTTTTTCCTTCAAACTAGGTTTAGTCACCTGATAGCAATAGAACGTGCTGGGATGGCCGCTGATGGCAATTATTATAATGTACGGAAAATTAATATTAAGCATTTAGTCGATCCTATTGATGAGCTCTTTGTAGCAGCGCGCAGTATCCCAGGAGTTACTACAACAGGTAAACATGATGCTATTTGTTCAGTACCCATATTTGTAAAGGGTACTTATATTATCATGACACAATGAGTTGGATCTGGTCTAAATTTTCCAATAGCAGAATGGAACTTCCCTGCATCCCTCCCATCCCAAAACAGATCATGGATTTCTGAGAGGTCATCCTACTCACTTGTGCAGGGAGAGGGAACCTGGAGGGTAGTTTTCAGAAAGTGGTGCAGGGGAACTGCTGCTCAGCCCCTTGGTCTCTGGCCTGTGGAGTCTGCAAGGCTCTATCTTGTCTCATATGCTCGTTAACATCTACATGAAACCGCTAGGTGATGTAATCCAGAGATTTGGGCTGGTTTGGCACTGATATGCAAATGACACTCAGCTCTACCTCTCACTTCCAGCTGATCCTATGGATGCTGTAGAAGCCCTGAACAAGTGCCTGGAGGCAGTTTTGGTCTAGATGCAGGCGAATAAGATGAAACTTAATCCTGGCAAGATGGAAGTGCTAACGGTCAGTAGAGGATCTGACCCGAGACTTAAGGTGTCACCTCTTCTGAATGGGGTAGTACTAGCCTTGAAGGAACAGGTTCCTAGTCTGGGGGTGCTTTTGGACCCAAGCCTGCTACTGGATAAGTAGGTTGCAGCTGTGGCTAGGAGTGCCTTTTACCAGCTTCAACTGGTTAGTCAACAATATCCAAGGACCATGGCATAAATGATTAGGCTAGGTAACTAAAGCACCATGTATAATGATAATATATACTATATTATGAGATATGATCACAATAAAAAAGAAGAAGAGTTGGCTTTTATACCCCGCTCTTCACTACCCAAAGGAGTCTCAGAGTGGCTTATAATCGCCAGTTTGGTGTAGTGGTTAAGTGCGCAGACTCTAATCTGGGAGAACTGGGTTTGATTCCCCACTCCTCCACTTGCACCTGGCTGGATGACCTTGGGCAAGCCATAGTTCTGATAAGAGCTGTTCTTGAAAAAGAGCAGTTTCTGTCAAGAGTTCTCTCAGCCCCACTTACCTCACAGGGTGTCTGTTGTGGGGACGGGAAGGGAAAAGGAGTTTGTAAACTACGCTGAGACACCTTTGGGTAGTGAAAGGCAGGGTATAAATCCAGTCTCTTCTTTTCTTCTTCTTCCCTTCCTCTCCACACAACAAATACCCTGTGAGGTAGGTGGGGCTGAAAGAGCTCTGAAAGAACTGTAACTAGCCCAAAGTCACCCAGCTGGCTTCATGTGGAGGAGTGGGGAATCAAACCCCGTTCTTCAGATTAGAGTCTGCCACTCTTAAGCACTACGCCAAACTGGCTCTGTGGCTAGGTGTGTAAAGAACACTTAGTAAAGAATACTCACACTTCCAAAAAATTAAGATAGTTTGTTATTTACATGCAATAATGCACCATGAACAATGTATAAAGGTAACCGTTCCCTTGCTTGAAAGCCAGTCGAGTCCGACTCTAGGGTTGCGGTGCTCATCTCAAAGCCGAAGAGCCAGCGCTGTCCGAAGACATTTCCGTGGTCATGTGGCCGGCATGACTAAACACCAAGGCGCACGGAACGCTGTTACCTTCCCACCGAAGTGGTACCTATTTATCTACTTGCAACTTCTTGCTTTCGAACTGCTAGGTTGGCAGGAGCTGGAACTAGAGATGGGAGCTCACTCCATCATGCGGCCACTCGGGTCTTGAACTGCTGAACTACTGACCTTCCACAGCCTGCAGTTCAGCGTCTTATATTCTAATAATTCTAATAATACAATGCCACAACAGCAAAACTCATCATTCAAAAAATAATATACAAAAAAGAAATTATTCAAGTACAAGCTTAAAGTGTAATCATGTATCAGAACTCAGAAGATGCTGAAATAAACTGAGGATTGACAAAGAACTTCAAAGTATGTTGAGGTGAACTGAAACTTAAAAGACTACAGGGACCGGTAAAAATCCTGTTCCACACATTCTTCCTCAGGTTTTAAAGCAACAAATGTCTTAAATTTAATAGTAGAAATCTGTTCTCTGTACTAGTTACATAATAGTGCAGAGCACTGAAAAGAAATACTGTTACTTTAAGGTTGTATTTGAATAATTTCTTTTTTGTATATTCTGTTTCAATTTCAACTGGTTAGTCAGCTGTGGCCTTTCCCAGTCAGAAAAGATCTGGCCACTGGGGTACATTCCCTGGTTATGACTAGGTGGATCCCTCTACACTTACAGATGTTTCCCACATTTCCCTCCTCACTAGCAATCCTCTCCATAACAAAGAAAGTTTATTCCAAGGCTTGTGGGACCTGCATGGTCTAATAGCCAGATAGATCTTGAGAGGCTGCAGGAGGAAGGGGCGAATTTGGCCTCTCTTTTCTGGAAGCAGAGCTGCACTGATGTTGGAGAAGGAAGGGAGTGATTTTGCTCCCTTACCCCATCCTACTGTAGCGTCCCAACATACATAGCTATTTGACCAGGTGGGTCTTGTGACCCCAGAAAAACGTTCTGATGTTCCTCTCCCCTGAGCTGTCCTTTCGAACCATGGGTCAGATCCCTGTGACCACAGAGCACAGGATCCAGCCAAGAATGTGGATTGCCTTCTGAATTCATTTAAAAATGGACAAGTAATTATTTGGATAATATTATCTCATTACTGATATGATTACTAATTCTCTCTCTGAGGTGAAGGACATCATGGTGAGTGATTCCTACCGTCCATTCAGGGAGGCAGGAACAAATTCTTCTCACTTCCTGTCTCTGGTGTGGGAGTTACTGTTCTCTTCAGTTCTTTTCCTGCCTCACCAGGGACAGCAGCTTAGATCTGGCTTTGCCTTCATCTACCCTTTAATTTTCCTCTTTACATTTCTACCTACCTACCTCTATATCCTTTTCTCTCTATATCTCGGCTGTTCTATTTCTAAATCCTCTGAAGAAGAACAACAAAACCCTCTATGAGCTGTCTCTGACAGCGGCGGCCATTTTCTCAGTCTGTGAGTTTTAAGAGTGGGTTCCTTTCAGCTGCTCATATGATGGCAGCATGAGGCACAGACAGTGATGGATTTCTTTCTGCTGAGGAGCTAGAAGCTCCCCTCATCGCTGGTGCCCAACACAGCACTGGAGGAGCCGGCAAGACCCGTAATAGGATTGCCTCAGTGTCCCCACTGAGAGCTAAACAAATTTGTGAAGTTAGGAAACTTCAGAATGAAAACTACTCAGTCACTGAATCCCTCTCATCCATCCATCTCTCATCCATCGACTTCACAGAGACTTACCTCCACATCCCAGTCTTCTTGGGCCACTGGAGATTTCTGCATTTTTGTGTTGGAGACCAGCACTTTCAATTCAGGGCTTTACCATTTGGACTCTCAACAGCTCTGAGAGTCTTCTCAAAGGTCCTGATCAACCCCATTGTAAAGCTAAGGGAACAGGGCATTTGCATCCACCCTTAGTTAGATGACCTATTGATCTGACCTTGTTCCATGGAAAAAACCAACTAGTGCCTTCAGAATTATGGGTTCATAGTAAGTCCTCAAAAGAGCTCTCTAGAGCCAACACAGTAACTAGAACACCTGGGCATCATTATAGATACCAACAACAACTGCTTATACTTAACAGACAAGAAGGCAAGGAAGCAAATCTGGTTCTCTAATGACATTTACCAAACTAAAGGGTCTATTGATCTTGACCATAGATGTGGTCCAGTGGGGAAGGCTCCACATAAGACAACTTCAACAGTTACTGAGACCGTTTCAGTTTCAAGTATCCAAGAAGGACAGTTTCCCCATTCATGTCCTTCTCAAGGTAAAGACCAGCCTCCTTTGGTGGACAAGGATGTCCAACCTTCTACAGGGGAAGAAATACTGGATCTCAGAGGTGAGGAAGATCTTCACAGACACTAGTCTGTCAGAATAGGGAGCAACAGTAGATGAGGAACCAGTACAGGTATGATGGTCCAGGGTAGAAACATCAGCCTTCTGGAACTCCAAGCCATACACCTTGCCCTCCTTTACTTTGGTCCATGGATAGTCGATTGTCATATACTGATAAAAACGGACAACATGACAGCCTCAGCAAACAAGGAGGATCCAAATAATTGGTGCTATACAAGGAGGTGTTTAAGATATTAGAGTGGGAAGAGAAAAACCTGGCATCAATAAAAGCAGAGCACATAAAGGGATCCATAAACACCCAAGCAGATTGGCTGAGCAGACAGACCATACAGGAAGGAGAATGGTCTCCCAAGAAGGATCTATTCCATCTAATAATTGCTCACTTCAGTCTTCCACTAGTGGATCTGTTTGTGTCACCAATGAACCACCAACTGAGCCAGTTCTTCACCACATTCTTCCATCACAGAGCCGAAGATACCAACGCCCTGAGATCACCTTGGCCAAAAGGTCTGCTGTTTGCCTTTTCTCGCATACCAGTAGTACCCAAGCTAATCAAGAAGATCAAAGAGCAGGGTGTGGAAGTCATATTAGTGGCACTGTTCTGGCCCCATCATCCATGGTTTTCAGCCCTTCAAGAAATGTCCAACGCTCCACCCCAAGGCTTCCTGCATCACTGGACATGTTTCAACAAGGCCCAATTGGGCACCCACACCTGGAGTGATTGCATTTGACCACTTGGAAAGTGAAAGGAGCAACTTACTCTGACTAGGGTACACTGTAGAAGTCACAGATATGCTCCTAACTTCCAGAAGGCAATTAACTAAGAAGATCTTACATGGAAAGCATTTGTTGGGAGAGAGTCAATCCCTTAAATCCTCGAGTTAAGTCTGTCTTGGTTTTTCTACAAGATGGGATCACCAGCAGTTTAAAGGTATCTACTCTTAGATGATAGGTCACAGTACCATCAATGGTGTTACCTCAGTTTAAAGGCTTTAGTTGATCAAAAAAAACACATATAGCCCTAAAGGACCCACCACCCCAGATTCTTCGATTTCCCATGTGGAAGCTTCACACTGTGCTCTCTGTGCTCACTAATCCACCTTTGAGCTCATTAGGGAAATCCCTCTAAAACGGTT